TCCGCCGCCCCTTCTCACGGAGCCTCCGGGCGCGGGCCGGCCGAGCCTATACATAGTGTACAGAAAACATCGCGTGTATTTTTAACGTCCCCATATTTCTGTGACTAGAAGCGCAACGGACTTCTCTCGCTGCTGTGGCGCGCCCCCGCTGGGGGCGCCCGGGGGCGGCGGAGGCCTCGGGAGACTGGGATTTCCTGGACGTCCGAGAGTTTGAGAGCAAAAGTGCTTTAGGCCCAGGCGGGAGTCGTGGTCCTGGTCCCTCGACACCCCCGCCCCGCTCTCGCCTCCTTGCTATTTCCGCGCGCCCTTGGCTTCCGACCCTTCCCTCTAGTTCTTTTAGGAGATGAGGTGAGACGAGTGTCCAGCTTTTCCTGGATTCGCCTCCCAGCGGATGTGAGCTTCCACTGAGGCTGCAGAGAGGCGCGCGGCCTCGTCTCCTCGGCTCTTGTGCAAGCTGGGGCCAGGTTGGGGGGTGGGCGCTCCTCAGGGGACAAGGGAGAGAGGCCTCGCCCCACCCGGGTAGCCCCGCCCAGGTGCCTTCGCTGGGGGAGCAGGCGTCTCTCCTCAGTAGGCTTGTCGCCTGCTCCCCCTATCCTGTGGCTCCTTGCCAAAGACTGAAATCAGGGAGCTGGAGGGCGTCCCCTCCCCGGAATTTCTTCCCTGGGACAGGTGAAGGAGGATAGGGGAGGTTTTGGTATGGGGGCTTTGCCCACGGGGGAGGCCCCACGCGGCCCCTGATGCTCCCGCCCGTCCCCATTTAGCAGCTGGCAGCTCCAGCCTCGGGGACTCAGCCACCTTCTCCGCGTCCCGAGGCGGGCATCGCTGCTTAGCAGCGGCCTCTAGCTGCGTCTCCCAGGCACCTGGGCCTGGGGGAGGGCTGGAATCGCCATGTGCTTTGTTCTTAGCGCCTCTCTGCCCTCCTCCAACTGGGACCCAAGGCCTTTGGCTTCTCCAACTCCAGTCCTTGGCGCTTCTGCTCCACCAGCCGGGTCAGAGGTGCCCTCTATTCTTAGAGAAGGCACATCGGCCAGGTTCCCTTCCCCCAGGGCACATTACTAAGGGGGACAGGCACTGCATGCTCGTTCCAGCGCCCTCTGGGACTGGGTACAGTACCTCCAGCCCCAGGGCCCTGACTTTTACACCTAGTTAGACATCCTGCCCACGTCCCCGAGCTGGGGCTATTGGGTACTTGTGACCTCACCATCTCTTTTCCTTTTTGAGCCCAAGCCAGAGTTGGAGCTGATGCCATCTAGACTGGGTCAGGTGTGGCTGGAGGTAGGTCTTGACATCTGCCAGTTAAGCCAAGGCCCCTCTGAGATTTGATCAGGGGGCTGGCTAGATTCTTCCAGGAGGTAATCAGGAAGTTGGAGATATTAGACACCAGCCCTCCCTGCTACCACCTTCTTACAAAAGACCTCTGAGAATCACGGCTGGGTCTAGCCTTCCAGGGGCCCAACCAAGCCTTTGGGCTCAAGTGGTGGCTGGGCAGGAGAGGGAGGAGGCTGTATCACTATCAGTTAGGGAACCAAAGTTGCACTATCTGGGCCCAGACTGTCTGGTTGGCAAGAGCAGTTTCCGTTGATGAAAACGAACATCCTACAACAAAAACCCAAGTTTTCTGTGCTACATGTGCAATATTTGTTATGAATGTTATCACGTCATTCATCAAATTATCTTTACAATCATTGTAGCTAGATGTTTCATGTCCATCCAAGTGACTTTTATTCCGAGTGCAATATTTCAATAGCCTTGTAGTGATAACTAGTGTTGCTTTTGTTTTAGACGATCTCCGTGCAGGGCAATGCAATTAAGTTGAAAACCCTTGTAAATAGGAGAGGTTGCAAACCAAATCCAGAGTATTTATTACTATTATTAGGCCTGCCTTTAATTTTCAGTGTTTCAGTATTCCGCATTCTGCCTCAGTATTGATCTTGTGTTTTTTGTGCCAATATGAAAAGGAGAGGGTTGGTTCTTTCCTTTATTGTTGAATGCTCCCATTTAATGCTTTACAGCTTTTACTGTATTTTTTAGATTCCCGTCTGCACAAAATGCAATAAAAATAATTTTATTATACCCTTCACAGCCTGAGATGTACTTTTGGGACACATGAGAGGGTAAGAATCAGTAGGTGGGAAGAGGGATACTCAAGGTTGCTCTCCAGGAGGACCCCAGAAACACCTTCACTAACAGAAGAGGGATGGGCTGGTCGCCCAGGTCTAGCTGCCTCGTGAGTGTACTGACAGTCCTGGGGCCGTCCTAGAGGGACAAAGGAACTGCCAGCAGGGGCTAGTAGAGGGAGCAATGCACTAACATCTCATCTGAGGTAGTGAGCACTGACTAGTCAGGTTCAGTGCTGTCTGCATTTTTGGTCCCTACCCTACTTGGAGGCCTTGTGCCAGTCACTTCACCACACCCATCCCAAGTTTCTTGATGAGGCCATTAAATGCTCTCCAAGGTTCTTACAGCTTCTGTAACTATGGTTGTGCCAACTTCCTGCATAACGGGCAGAACAGATGGTGGCAACTGAGCTGAAATCAAAACAGGAGTGCCCTACTCCACTGGCCATCGGCCAGAAATGGCCTCCTCATGGTCCTGTTTCCCTTTCCGAGAATAAGAGGACAAGCCTGCCGACACACTGAAAGTCTACCACAAACAAGAATGTGTAACACAGCATTACAATTTGCCAGCAGGCTTTTGCTCTGAACTGTTATTAAAGCTTCTAACTAGGTGAGCTGTGAAAGAAAAGTTAGGCTTTAAGAGAGGTTTTGAGGCCTGAACACAGGCTGAGGACAGGAGGGGGCAGGCCTCATGCAGACTGAAACCAGTCGGTGCTCCGTCAGGAACCCTCACTTTCCGACCTTGGGCAGGAAGGCCGCGTCAGGTCCTGCAGATAGATAGTCACACCCAAAAAAGATGACACAGCTTTTACTTTTTCATTTTAATTAAAAAGTAATCATCTCATCTCATTAATAACACAAGAGTTCCAAAGAGAAAAAAAAAACACTATTAACACAAACAGGTCAGAACATAAAACGCTGCCATCTGGGGACCTTGAGGTTTTGAAACCATTGTTTGCTCTGCCATTGGCAGGGACCCAGCTGAAGTTACTGCTCTCCCTTGTCCCTGCCAGGGGTCCCTTGAGACTGCGATCCACAGGGCTCTAATGAGCACCATCCCTAGGGAGAGGGCAGTTTCCTTGGGCTCTTCGAGCAGCAGCCATTAGTCCTCCCTCTAATAATCTCTCTCTGGCTCAAAAGTTATGAACAGTCGCCTATATCAAGAACATGTCCAGCTACCAAAAGTCTGACACCAAAATGGTCCCTACCTCCTGCTACTCAGAAAATAGAACAAGAGTCCAGATGAAAACAAGAGCCTGATTTTTGAGCCAAGAGCTCAAAATAATCGCTAAAAAAATGGGTGTTCACTGCCAGAGTCCAGAGTTGCCGTCTCAATCCTGACTCCACGAAACTACTGCTGGAGAAGGAGAGGCTGACAAATGTTAAGGGGGTAGAGTGGCTGGGGCCCAGAGTCACAGTTTGTGTTAAACTGCTGGTGACTAGAGCTGTTCAGTCCATTGGAGATCCTCCAATGACATGAAAGCAAAAAAAAAAAGAGAAAATCCAAAATGAACCACCCTGGGTCATGCAGAAAAGTACCTGTTTCCGTGGCTGCGGACACTCCTCAACAACTCCAGGGAAGCCGATTTATGAATCCTCAAGCAGATCCCCCAACATGGGGGGTGGGGCATGACGCCGCCCTGCCTGCCAAGCCCAATCTACTATGCAACCCTAGGCAGGAGCTGTAGGCAGGAGCTCGAGCTCTGGTTGGCCTGTGCGAGGCTGGAAAACCTTGGTAGGTTCAAAATGAACAAAGGCAGTGGCTACTGACATGAAAATGCCATTCCAAACTCAGCCAATTGGGGCACTCCCCTCCATCCAGCTGACAGAGACCAGAGAAACCCATTTAATATAAACTGAGCCCAGACACCTATACTGCCACCCAAGTGACCCCAGAGATATTTATTTTCTACAAAAAAAACAAAAAAAACAAAAACAACAACAACAAGAACAACAAAAATACAGCCCCAAATGCAGTATAAACTCTCGACTCTGGAAGGAATAAGTAACACAGCCTTGGGCAGAAGAGAGCAGGTGGTAGAAACTTATGACATTCGATGTGGACCTGGATAGGCGCAGAGAACATCCTCCAATAACTCTATTTAAACGCAATAGTAGGAGGCGGCCAGGGATGAGGGGGTTGGGGGTAGTTGAGAGACTGAGCCTCAGTAATGCCTCTGGTAAGATCCCATGGGTGCCTGGGGCCGCCCCACCTGTGCTGTGGTTTGGCTAACCAGGTGGGAGAGAGCAGGGCCACTCTGGATCAGGGTATCCAGAGCCTTCTGTACACTTGGATTGTCAAAGTTGATACCCGTGGAAGACATGGGCCTCTGGCTGGCTATGTTGCTGGCAGGTGCCAGGCGACTGGAAGGCTGGCCAAAGAGCCCTTGGGAAGGAGCCCCAGGCCTGGGGCCCATGTTCCGAGCAGATCCTGCCTGTCCCAAAATGTTTGGAGGCTGATTGCCAGAGGCCTGTGATCTTTGCTGAGGCTGGCTGTTTGCTGCTGTGGAAAAATTCTGGTTCTGGGTGTTTCCGGCAGCGACTGAAGGGGATGCAGAGCTGCTATTGGCCGCGACCGTGCCGCTATTGAAGAGGCTGAGGATTTTGGCCTGAAGCTCTTGCTGGGAGGTGGGGGGTGCAGCTGGAGTGGGTGTAGCAGAGGGGAGCACTTGGCCGCTCTGGAGCGGTTGGGAGCTTGGCTGTGTCTTCAGCGAGGCACCCGAGGTCGCCCCGAGTGGTTGGCGGGAAATCGGGCCTGGAAGACAGAAGGAGGAGGTATCTGGTTGAAAGTACCTACCATGGGCAGGAGGCTTAGCAGCCCAGGGAAGAACAACAATCACTGATCACATCAATCACACAGTACAAAGACTATAACATCGATTTTCCAAAGGGGTCACTTCATGGTCTGGGCTATCTCCAGAAGACAGCCTAGTTCCCCAGAGAACTACTTAAGGAAAAAAGGGCATCCACCTTGGTTACCAGGGGGCCAGCATCACTAGTCTGTTAACTTTAGGGATGAGAATTAACTTCAGATAGCAGAATTCCGTGCCCAAATCTTAATTATCCTTATATCGGCACGAAGGCCCATGGGCAAACCCAAGGGATGGGCTCACTTCCATTACCCGCCCCAAAGAGCCCTGGGCTTGACACCCTCCCAACAGAGCCTGGGGATTAGAGAAATGCAGAGTCAGAACTTCACCTCGGCCCTGCCACGTAGCTCACCAGGCAGAGAGTCGGTGCTGCTCCTCATAAGCCGCTCCTTCCTCTCTCGCAGGTAGTTGATGATCTTGTCAGTCTCTTCGGCAGTGAGGTACCTGTTGTCTGCCAGCAGGTTAATGAGGCTTTGGATGGCTGGAGGGTGGCCCCCACGCACTCCTTCTTCAGGGCCTCCTCGCTCTCTTTCCTGTAGAATGGCTTCATTGGCCATCTTGGCTGCCTGTCTGGCAATCTCCTCACGTTCTTTCTCCCGGCACTCATTCTTGTAGCGCTCATAATTTCTGGCCACCAGCACCATGGCGTCTGCCTGGGGCATGTTGCGGTGTTCTGTAGGAGGGGATGACGTGAGTTATTTTCTCTCATGCCAGATTTCAGTACCCACCTGTTAGACTCTGCCAAGCTTTCCCTAACCTCGAACCAGCAAGAAAATCATTTCAGTGACAAAAAGCCTTGGGGCGGGGGATGGGGAAGGGTAGGAGATGAAGTTGGGAAGACAGGAGAACGGATTTCTGTGGTGGGGAACACACACCTTTGTAAAGAGCTGGTTCTCTGAGGAATTCCTAGATCACAGACTTGTCGTAAAAACCAAAGAAACATGACAGTCTCCCACAGAGTCAGAAGGACCACGTGGGGAATAACCGCGGGAGGTAGGCTGCAGGGGATCAAAAAGCCCGTCTGTAAAGCCTGGCTCTCCACTGTGCTTCTCAGGATAGAGCTGATCTACTGTTTTTGAATTCATCAGTTCAAAGGTCGTGGATTAAGACCAAACTTGGCCCTAAATAACCTCCTCTCCTCACCTTGGGCAACATGGCTTACAGAGTGGTGAGAAGACTCCTCGGAACTTTATATAAATGTCCACACACCTCATGACGCCTATTCCTCAGAGAGACAAATGACCCACTGGAGAGCCTATTCATTTTATGGATATGGGTGTAATGTCAGGCATATAGAGATCCTGAATGTGGTGACTAAAGGGAAAAGTCTGTGCAGTAAGCAGGGCATCAGTTTGCTGAGTCTCAATAGTCTGGGTGCAAAGTACTAAAAAGGCCACTTTA